GGGATGGAAATTTCAGAGATAACGATGAATGATTTGACAGTGACCGATGGCAAACCATTTTCAGTGGATAAGCTCAAACTCTCAAAGATACACAAGTGGGTTTCCTGAGTTTTATACGTAAGCTGCTTTTAAATCCAGAAATAAGGCATTGTTCTCCCTTTCCATTGCTCTCCTTCTTCCACTCTCAATGACCTCTTACTAAAAGTACAGGGTGGATTTACCTGATGTGAATATGTCTGTGGAGATTCTCAGCCATCCAGGTCAAAGGTGCTTTTTTTTCCTCCAAAGAGGCAACTGGACTTGGTTTTTCTCTCACCCAAGAAACTTCTTCACCATTCAGCCAGAGCTGAAGAAGCTTCTTGGATGAGAAGTGAAATGTCTTCAAAGAAAAACCGGAAAGTCCAGTTGCCTCTTGGGAGAAAAAAAAAAAGCACCTTTGGGATAATGTGAATATATTTTCCCTGTCAGGGTAAGTCCAGAGCGCTATTACTTTGTAAGGCAAACTTCCAACGGTTTTTTTTTTTATGATGCTGGGCACAAAGTTGCTGACTTTCCATCTCCAGAACAGAAATGCTGGTATGAATTTTTCAAGAAAGCTCGACAACATGTTAACTTTCTACACAATTGTCTCCTTAGTAGGTGAAATTACATTGAATCTTGCATCTGTATGTAGCCTTAGAGAACAGACAGTGCACAGTCCACATGTGCTTTTCTGTTTAACTGCCACAAGGAAGCAGGAAACTTTTATTCAGAGAAAAGAGCAACTGCAAACCTATAAACACTGCCATCTACTGGTTGAAAAATATGCTGCTGTAGTTGTACAAAATCCATGAACAATGTGAAGGGCACTTTTTAATTCAGTGAGGTCCAAAATTCAATTCTGATGATGAAAGCAAACATCATATGAACAGCACTGCCCTATATCCACTTAATGCTATGTCTCTTCAAGGAGATTTCCTACAATTATGTCTGATTGCAGCTTCAGTCTCTCAAGCATCAACATATTTATCAAAATTGCTAGCCCTGCTCCCGTGCCTTTCAGTTGTTGGTTTATGCATCATGCTAAACTTTAAAAAACATGTGTTAAGTAAACGTTGACTGGATCTATAAAACAGGGTTTCCTGCCCAGAATGTTTAGGTTCTCACAATACTTTATGCCAGAGAAAACACACTGCAGTCTAGGATCATGTGTGAGCTCACCCATAGATGTTCAGGCTTGGAAGTGTTTCCAAAGAAAGAGAAGCAGCGATGGAGAATCAGTTCTGTCTTCGAAATTAAATGTCTTTTTGTAAAAGCAGCTCGATGCTTCTCCCATCAGCCAGCGGGGTGCAGGAGCACATGGGCACTCCCGCCACAGTCTGAGACAAATCATTGCAGTATTTACTTCCATTCTAAATTCCCTGACTGCAGTTTAATGGGCATATTTACAAAGCTGTGCATAATAATAAAATTATCTCTAATGATGTTTAGAAGTGTGACTTTGGCGTTTAGAGAATTCTCTTATTATCTCTCCGAGCGGATTAAAACTGTGCCAGGCTTTTGCTTGAAGCAGATGGAAAGGGGACAGTTGGTGCTTATGCACAGGCAGGGTTGGCTGCCTATGAAAGGGGACCGAGGGATGGTCCCCTTGGACGGAGAGGGCAGGAGGGATAAGAGCGTTTGTGACTGTTTGGCTTTGGCCGTTGGAGTCTTGGCCTTAGCCGTTTGGAGCTTTCTACCTCGGAGGGCAGAAGCTTGTAGGGTGCCGAGACAGAAGACACAAAGAAGGGCCTTGTTATTGGCTGGAGTGCTGGCAGAGGGAGAGGGGAAGATCCCGGCCTGAGCTCAGAGCTGACCCTCAGTCTGGCCAGCATGCTAGGCGGTTCCATTCTGCAGCTGACATGTCCCCGAGTTTGCTGTATTGACAACTTGAGGGACTTGTTTTCTTTTTTACCTGTGTCAGGATTCCGGCAGTTACCCCCATTTAAATCATGAGTCTTGAGCCAAACTTCCAAAACTTCAAAAGGGAGTTAAATTGGGAGTTAAATTGTCCAGCACTGCCTTGGTGCAGCCGACTCTGAGGCACATAATTCATTGTCACCCTTGACCCTGGTTTTTCCCCTCACCCCCTGGGTGTATTGTAGGTCATATTCTCCAATGGGACACATCCATAGCCAAGAGTCATCAACCAGGCTCTCCTGTTAGAATTATGCACGGCAGAAACTTCAGTTACCTAGTTACTATCTTTGAAAACATTTATGGAATGCAGTTTCTGTTTGCGAGCTGCTGCACTGCTCCCCCCCTCCCTTTCTGTTGGCAACTCTAAAAAGACCATAGAAATATTTTATGAGTTGAGAACCTCAATGATAGAAGTCCCTTTGGTGGTGCCAAGTCCTGCCCAGCCCAACAGCTCCAAGGATACAAGAATCAGAGATTTCAAGCAAGTCTCTTTCATGGGCGACTGATGGTAAAAACAAAATCTTGGAAACAACAAGAGGAAATTCCCAGCCTCATTTATCGGCAGGCTTCACAAAGCAGGGCCTCTCCATTGTATTGGAAATGATTCTTTCCAGGTTTCCTGCCACTTGGGTGGACAGTTGATGAGATCAACTGTCAACAGACCTGCCCTCCATCTCTCTCTCCTGTCCCTTCCATGGTTTTCTTTGTGTCCAGGTTCAGTAGGTGAGACACCAACTGTACTTGGATAATGTGAGATAAGCTACCGATGGACTCACTCCCCCTTGTCTGCTGATGTCTAATTGTCCGTTCATTACTCTTCCAGTCTCTCCCCACTGTCATCAATGGAACACAAGCTGTTCATGGAGAAGTTTCCTTTTTATTCCTTCCTCTCCTTTCTTTTAAGGATCTTTTAACATACAGTATCTTCCTTAATAGCAATAGCACTTAGACTTATACACTGCTTCACAGTGCTTTACGGCCCCCTCTAAGTAATTTACAGAGTCAGCCTGTTGCTCCCAACAATCTGGGTCCTCATTTTACTGACCTTGGAAGGAGGAAGGCTGAGTCAACCTAGAGTCAGTGGGACAACGGCCAAACTGCAGAAGTAGCCTGCAGTACTGCACTCTAACTACTGGGCCATCACAGCTTGTAACAGTAGATAATCAGTGTAAAAGCTCAACTGTGACTGCTGGCCAGGGAACATACATGACTCCATATTTCTAACTGTGAACCAAACACAAGTGGCTTCACACAAAGACGTTTCTGCCATCATCCAGAAAGGGTATACAGATTCTCAAGCATGCATCTGGCTCTTGGGAGATTGATATGATTAACAGATTAACAGAGTCGGAAGGGATCCTGTAGGCCATCTAGTGTGGAGTGTCAGAGGTTGATAAACCCACGTGCATGGTGGGTGGTAGCGTGGCCGATGCTCCTTGCATTGCTCCTATTGAATTGGTGCTCTTTGGTGTCAGTGTGGGTAGAGATTATGGATTGGGGATCATGGCAGTTGACTGCCAGCTGGTGTTCGTGGATTCTGGTTTCAGTTTCACACGTCTTGCTCCAAGGAAACCACGGACTGACTGCACCATTCTTATCAAGGGAAGCCACTACCCAGTATCAGGGAAACGACAGATTGAAACCCAGCTCTCCCTTGGATACAAGCTCACTTGTCATGCAGTCAGTTGGTGGGTGGCTTTTGAAGAGGTTCTGAGACCGAAAGTGGGCTTTAGACCTGGAATGAGGGAGCCCAGCCTTGGGTCAGCCTTCCTTCCTCTCCCATCAGCCTGACCTTCCTCACAAAGTTATTTTGAGGACAAAACCTCAAGCCTTACTAGGAATCGGGAGACATATAAATTTACTACAGTGTCATCGTCATTAATGTCATCAGGTCGACCTGATCTCTTGCAGAAAAGGTGGGATGCAAATGAGATTCAGCATCATCTGAGAGAGCAGTTATGGGAGCTCTAGCAATGAAACATCCGTTGAATTGATTTTTTTATTCCCAGGGAGAGCAGCGATAAATTTCTAGATTCTAGTAGGAATAAAAATAAAAAGTTAGATTTTTTTATCCAATACACTGCAATATTAAAACAGCATGCAGATGTGAAAAATGGAATTAATATACTGAATTAAAACAAGGAAATATAACACACATGTGCATACAAAGGAACTGGATAACGTGTGTGATGTCATCTGATGCAACCTTCTCTCTTGGGAGAAATTTAAATAGATGGCATGTCAAGATGTGATAAGGGACCTTGTGAGAACTGCCATGGATTCCACAGTGAGGTAGCGTACTTTATAGGTACATGAATGTTTTTTAATAAATAAAACAGAATATTAAAGAGATTGCATAGCAGAAGTATCCATTTGCCACAAAATAGCAACAGCATTTAGACATATATACTGACTGCTTCACAGTGCTTTACAGCCCTCTCTGAGTGATTTGCAGAGTCAGCCTATTGCCCCCAACAATCTGGGTCCTCATTTTACCCACCTCAAATAAGGAGAAATGTTCTGACAGTGAGAGTAATCTACCAATGGAACAGAAGTTGCCTTCTTGGGCAGGGGGGGTTGGACTAGATGATCTACAAGGTCCCTTACAACTCTGTTAATCTGTTATCTGAAACCTCGGAAGGATGGAAGGCTGAATTGAGCCTGGTGGAATTTGAACTGCCAAATTGCAGACAGCCGACAGCAGAAGTAGCCTGCAATACTGCAGTCTAACCATTGTAGCACCGAGACTCAAAAGTCTCTATACCAGTCCTTGAGTTATGTCAGATCATGAAACAGACTGCAAAGGAAGCATTTAAACTTTAAATGATATTCCTTATTAGGCTATAATAAGGTATATTAAAATAGCATTGCAGGATGTGATTTTTTTTCTTCTTCTTGATTTCTTCTTGGTCTCATAGCATTAAAGGCTTTGTCAACTTTGAAAGCCATATTAGCACCAGATGCTTCCACCCTGCCACATTCTTGAGCCTGGGAAAATGGGAGGGAGGAATTTCTTGGGACGTATGTGGTTAGACATAATAGCATTCTTCTTCTAAGTCAAGGTCATGTTGTTTCTGCACCTGATGGAGAGGACGTCTCAAGTTGGGATGGATGGTGATTGAGGCATGTGATGCAATTATGGGTGCAGGGAGTGGATTTGTAATTTTTTACTTATTGGAGGGGAACTCGGAACTTTCAGATTCGGGATTTCCCAGAGGTGCCAGTTTACTACCCAAATAAAAAAACAACTTTTGAGAGGATGTCCGTCTCGCAGTTATTTGTTGGAATTGAGGTTTTCTGGAACGCTGACAGGCTTTAGCAACCCTCTTTTGTAAATCCAAAAGGAAAAAATATCCAGGGCACTCTCTTGGTTTCTCGTTCGTATTTCCCTTTTAAATGTTAACACCTCAGCAGTTCCTTGGGTAGATCCAGTGAAACATCCTTTTCTATATCATTCTCTGGGCCTGTCAGTTATAAACCCTCTTTCAATGCCATCTCTACCTTGTTAAATAAAGTTTGTTCTACATCTGTCATTTCTTCAATAACATCTTTTTGACATATTCTATCGATAAAAGAATACTATCATTACTGACATGATTGATATTGGCTTGCTGTTTTCTGACTCCATATTTTAAAAGTTTCCTTCAGTATTCTTATTACATTTGCCCCATATTACAGGACTTGTAAATCTTTCTTCTACCTAAAAACTTTAGTGTCCAGTTTTTGAAATCATGAAATTTTCTATATTATAATGTCTTGTAAAACGCAAAGCTGGATCTGTTTCCCTTGAAAAGCTGTTTGTTCTTTACAATTCACTCCAAATTTCTATTGTAAAAGATTCAATTTTCCAATTTTACCTGGACCATAATTCATTTGTTACTTTTTAAGATCAATATCTAATTTAGCTTTTGGATATTTCTTTCAGATTCTTTAAATTCTTATGTGTATGATTATGATTATTATTTTTTTGTTCAGGATTGAAGGCAGACTCTCCTGGCATTTTCAAACTAGTTGTTCTCAAGGTTGGCAACAGCTTAAAAGTAGTTAATGAGCAATGTCCAAAAATGATTAGAAAGTTAAGTTTGCAAACATATTAAATGTCTCTGCCACTGTCTGTGTGCAAAAGTTAGTTAATCATATTGTCACCCAATATTCAAACCTGTGGAAATTACTGTCCTGCATTCTCCTTGGAGGGAATAGCTGTCCAGAGCATTTGTGAGCAATCTCCCACCTCTTGTTATCCAGAGAATTCCAAGGAACCGGTCTACTCGCCATTCCTTGGTCTTTGGAGCAGTTGCATTCAGTTTGCTATACTTCCCCCAAACTCCCTAACACGCTACCTCCGGATTCTCTAGCTTTATGGTGTGTGAATGTGGAAAACAATCCCTCTCCTTCTCATTCCCCCTTCCTTCTGCAGAAAGACAGATCAATGTTACAAGCACATTGGGGGGTTGGACTGGATGACCTACAAGATCCCTCCCAAATCTGTTAATCTGACTGTTAAGAAACAAATAGAATAAATTTTATTTTTTTAAAAAAAGGGGGGGAAATGCAAATGTAAACATTTCTTTTTTAATTTTAAGTAATCATATCTAAAACAGAGAAAGAGACAAAAAAATTCCTCTATTCAAAACACATATAAAACCAGAAAATTCTCCAGATGAAGAATATGCTGGACTGTGTGGTACTCCAAGCAGGTCACACAATGCCAGTTTGAAGAAGACACACAGGAATTTAACTTATACAGAAGCGATCGACTTTAATCCAAATTTGGAGACAATTCTAACTCTGTCCCTAACAATTCTAATTCTGTTGACTATCCAATTTGGGGTTCCTTTTCTCTCGGAGTTCTCTCTGCAGTCTTTTCAGAGGTGAAACCCCTTTCATACCTAGCAGAAATAGACATGTTAGTACACATGACCCAGGGCATATCTTTTAAACAGATGGAGATTCCATGTCTGAGATAAATGAATGGGACTGAAAGCCAGACATATCTGACTGTCAGTAAATCAAGTTTTCAAACAGAAAAACATCATTTGCTGCTATCAGAACATGCAAGTGGATTAGACCTCTTCTCACCTAATCATATTTTCTAGATAATAAACGTGTTTTAAATCATGTTTTAACAATCTTCCTTCATATTTGAAATGGACTTTTAAAAGCTTTTATGCCTGTTTGCTTTTCAGTGTTATGACAGGAATTACATTTCAACACTATGCAAATGTTGGCTGTTTTTCTAAGCCGGAACCTCTGCAAAAAGCTGCCCTTAGCTGGATCTTTCAAACTATTCAAGAACACTTAAAATGATCTCTTAACTCCTAAAAATTTCTGGTTGCAGCATTTGTTTATGGCTCAAAATACCGTAGAAGGTTGGTCTAGTATTCAGACAAATTCTGAATACAGTTTCAAAAATCCTGGTAATTAGCAGGCTGTTGATTGCAGGGAGGGCTTATTTTGATGCTTCAAACTATGTACCAATCCTTCACCCAGAGCTCCCCATCCACTTCTCACCAATGGGCATATTTGGAATTTTGAGAGCATAATATGAGTGCTGACATACTTGACATGACGGGACAGCTAGAACAGAATAACAGGGTTGGAAGGGACCTTGGGCGTTTCCTAGTCCAATCCCCTGCACGAACAGGAGATGCTACAGTAATCTGGACAAATTACTTTCCAATCTCTTCTTTAAAACTTACAGTGTTGGAGCATCCACAACTTCTGAATGCAAGCCATTCCACTGGTTAATTGTTCTCACTGTCAGGAAATTCCTCCTAAACTCCAAGTTGCTTCTCTCCTTGTTTAATTCCCAACTGTTGTTTCTTGACCTGCCCTCTGGCGCTTTGGACAATAGGGTGACCCCCTCTTCTTTAAGGCAGCCCTTCAAATATTGGAAGACTGCTGTCATGTCACCCCAGTCTTTCTTTTCACTAGACAGACACAACTCTGATGCAGCCCTCAATGAAATCGAGTTTGACACCCCTGTTCTAGTTCAAGTTGCTGCTATCAGACCAATCTGGTTCTACTTCGGTGATTACAACCAATTGTTGATAATATTAAATTTACCAACAAAAAAATAGCTATACAGTGGAACCTCAGGTCACGAGCACGTCTGTTCGCAACCAAATAAGGTGACAACTAGAATTTTTGCTTCTGTTTGTGAATAGATCTTCAGGTGGTGACCAAACAAACCTGAAAATCACCACAGCAATTTCCCCTTCAGTGCCATTTTTTAAAAGTTTTTTGGTCCTCGCGTGCACAGACGTTCATGCTTCCGGTGACAATCAAATTAGGTTGCGACTGTAGTCAGTCACAACTCAAGGTTCCACTGTACTAGTATACTGACTATACTAGTACAGCTATTTCAAGCTGTTTAGCTCTCATCAGCCAGCATATCCTTCTGGGATTTGAACCCTGGACAGCTTGCATATTAGGCAGATGCATTCACCTCTAAACCACAGACTCTCCTCGCTTTGTTGACTGTACCAGAGGGGAGATTAAGTGAATCCCAGAAGGGTATAGCTAGCTGATGAGAGCTAAACAGCTTGAAATAGCTGTACTAGTCTCCATTTATTTCTTTGTTGGTAAATTTAAATTTAATACAAAAATAGTTTGTCAGAAGCAACTGTCTGCAAAGGCTCCTGGATTGGGGCTGAAAGGCAAAAGCGGAAGTACTGGTAAATGATGCCATTTTTAATATATTGTTACACCACAAATTCTTAAACTTAAACTTACACTTCTATGCTTGTTTTACTCCAATCAGTTATGACTCCTTTGTTTAGTTTTGCTGGTCAATGATCAAAATAAAATGATTGACTGACTGACTCCAAACCTTCCACAACGTGACAGACCCTTTAAGTATTTGAAGACAGCTGTCATGTCTCCTCTCAATTTTCTCTTCTAACTAAACATACCCAGGTCTCTTTACTATTTCTTGTAAGACTTATTTTCCAGTCTTTTCACCATCCTGGAACCAGTGTCTGGTCCAGCTGATCGAGACTTTTTAAAACTTGGTGTGTAAAACTGAACACAATACTCCAATCGAGGCCTGACCAAGCCAGAGTTAGAGTGGGATTATTACTTTCTGCAACCTTGACTCCATGTCCTCTTGATGTTCTTCAAGATATTGACCTTCTTGGCAGTTGTGTTGCAATGTTGGGACACAGGTTCTACTGGTACACCCAAGTCTTTCTCATATGGAGTGCTTGCTCTTCAGCCAGAATTTTCCCCATTCTGTACATGTTTATTTTGTTTTGTTAGACTCATGAATTTACATTTCTCCTTGTTATAAATGTTATCCTATTTATTTCAAGCCTAAGACTTTTTGAATGTTTTCCTTCTCCCCCAAATAATAGCCATTCCTCCTAGGTTACTACCCTCCGCAAATTTGGTAAGCATTACCTCAACTCCCGTATCCATATCTCTTATAAAGACTCTGAACAGCATTGGATCTAGGCAAAGCCTATTTGAGATGGCTCTCCGTAGAGATTTCAACCCATTGATATCTCCCCTTTGAGTAGGACCCTTGAGCCAATTGTAAGTCCACCTAACGGTTGAGTTGGGAAACCCATGGACTTTATGAAAATATCTCAGTTAAATTTTGTATCAAGCTTCATAGAATGAATATATTTTCAAAGGCAAAACTGTATAAAAAGTAAATGGTTTTTATGTTGAGTTTAATAAAAAAAGAATTTATACCTGCAAGTAATAATCAAATGAAAACCAACATTTTCATTTCATACAAAGTGTGTGAATAGCTTTAAATGAACACATAAAAGAAAATTTGATCGAAAGTATTTATAAACTAAGACGGACTGACATATATGAACACCTGAAGACCAACTCGAGCAGATTCACAAAATAAGAGTATTTCATATTTTTAGATTTAATTGAGAGATGCTTTGGATTTAAAAACTTGACAACATTAAAATTTATACTGTTTGCCTTGTGTGAAACTGAGTTGAAGAGAGATACTTGTAGAAATTAAATTTTCCCTGACTTTTATCTCAAAATCTGGACATGCTGTCAGGACTTAATATGCATGTTGCAATTATCTTTTAACCAGTAAAG